CTTCTTGGGCACTAGAGTGAGTTAACAGCTTCAGTTTAGACTGATTACAAATTAATGGATGACAGTTTGGAAAGTGGTAAAGATCAGATCTTTAAAGATATTTAGTTGTTATTCTGCCCAGCACTGCAGAGCCTAACTGATTTAAGAGCCTAAATATAATTTCTTCAAAGGATTTAGGTACTTGAACCACAGTTCCATCAACTTCCAATGGGATTTTGGCTTCTAAGGCTGTGTCTAGACTACATGCCTCTGTTGGACTGAGGTTTACGGGGCTGCTGACAAAGGGCTTTGATGTCGACAGGGGGAACGTCCAGACTAGCGTGCGAGCCAACAAACAGCTGATCAGCTGTTTGTCGGCTCAGCGCGGCAGCCATGTAAATGTAAATGAAGCCGGGATCATTTAAATCGCGGCTTCATTTGCCTTTGCCAAAACAACAAATCTACATGGCTCCGTCGACGGAGCCATGTAGTCTAGATGTACCCTAAGTGTCTAAATCCCTTTTGGAAACTGTATTTAAGTCTAGTCAGTTGAATATTGCAATGCTGAGTACAATAATAGATAAATACTTAGACCTGGTTGGAGGTTTCCCAGTGGAATATTTTCCCTTTGGATAATGCCCATTTGAAGTCAAAATGCTGTGTAGGAAGATGCCAAATTCAATGAGCCTTCTGATACATTTCTGGCAGGTTTCCATCTAGCTTACCCAGCTGCCCACTGCCCTCCCCAACAGCTATAGCTGTGCTCCTGGAGGGGAAGCTTGAGAGGCATCCAGGGAGCTTGGGATAGCATATTTCATTTCAGAAACACCGAAAAGCATCCCCCTGCAGCAGCATTTTCATGGTTTTTAAAAAATATTGTAGAATTTCACTTCTGAAATATCTCTCTCCCCGTCTGGATTTCCCCATGTTCTTTACTCCTTGTCCTTATTAAGGATACAATGTTTTCCAAAATATCAGGGTTTTTTTTTTCAAATAGAAGTGAAATTCAATTTCCAGCTAGTTCTAAAGGTAGTTAGTTACCTTTCCTCCCCACATTTCCCTAGTGCAAGGAAGGATCAGAAAATGAGGCATTTCCTGTGGAGAATTTAGACTTTTTGTTCAAAACCTGGCAAACAATCTTCTAGCTTTTGTGAATAAAAAACCAAATTTCCATGGAAAGCTGACATTTTCCTCCAACATTTTCATTGAGTTAAAAATCCAAGTTTCCGTTCAGCTCCACAAGTTACTACCCTTGTTTTAAAGAGGTGGAAACTGAGGCTCAGAGAGATTATCTCACCTGTCCAAAGTCATACAATACCCACAAATAGCTGGGAATAAGACCCAGAACTTGACAATCAGTTCTACTTTTACATTGCTAACTGGCACAACCTCTAAAGTGGAAGAAGCAAATTAATTCTGTACCTAATCCAAAATACACATAAGATGTTAAAAAAAGTCAACATTTAGAAGTTGAAGCTAGACAAAGTCAGACTAGAAACAAGATGTAAACTTTTAAACAATGAGGGCAATTAACTATTGAAATAATTGATCAAAGTTATGGTAGATTCTCCAGTATAGACATTTTGCTCCCCATCTTCCACTTGTGGCTGCTCGTCAATGGTCAGTTTCACCTCAAGCAGACGGATCTGCCTTTGGAGACCATTCCTGTCATGAGCTAGCTTATCTTGTAAATGTGTATAAGTATGCATGTGTGCGCGCACACGTATTCATATGGGTTTTGTCTAGTTCTGACCAATTTAATAAGTTTTATTAAATAATAATTTGAACATCTCTAGCACCTTTTATTCAAATATCTTAACCAACTTTATAGGTATCAATTAAGCTGACAGGAAGTCAAGAACTTTCATTCTCATTGTAGATAGGGGAATTGAAGTACAAAGATGATAAAGTCTAAGTGTGCAAACATGGTCTCCAGTTTTGGGTGTCCAACTTGAGATACCTGTAGGGGACTGATTTTCAGGAGGTACCGATCACATACAACTCCAGCTGAAACTAAGGGGAGTTTCATTCCGATAGTCAGGCTCTCCCCCTCTATAGTTGACCAAAACCAGACATCCAAAAATATTTGTTAATTTTGCAGAATTGGAAATGAGCCGTGAAGGAACAGACAGAGTTCCTCTTATTTGTATGACTGTTACCAGAAGATACAGCTGCTTTTCTTAATATTAAGTTCTCTTTTTAAATTACTATTCCATTATCTATGATTTGCACTGTCTTTAAGTTCAAAAGGAAGAGAAAAGGAACACAAGCTACTAATGAATCTTTTTGTGAATTACATTTTATTGCAACAGTAGCAAACAATTAAAAATTGTAATAGGAACAATAAAACAATGACAGACTTTTAACTAAGTACCCTATTAAACTAGATCATTTGCAAACTATGATTTTCATTTAAAATTTAGTTTATACAATATATACACAAGTATATTTCAAAAATATTTTTTTCACTGTTTTATACTCCTCCAGAGAAGACTAAAAGTGCAAGTCCATTTGCATTTATGTTAAAGTTACTTGTCATCTAGTAAATAAATACATTAATACAGAGGTAACTAACATGAGGGAATAGCCATCTATCAACACAGATTAATTTATAGATTTCCATTTCTTTTTCATTAAACTCCTTCACATAATAATGCTATGTATCATTTTCATGTGGGATTAGAAACATTAATATTTCTACCTTCACGTAGAATTATCATATATAGAGTCTACTCAATATTCCAGACAAAATATCAGATGGAATTTGTTTTATAGAATTACAGATCTTGTAACTCCTCCCTTCTAAATTATTTCTTTATTCAATGACATCTTATCTGAAAAGCTTGGCTGTATTTCACCTAAACCTGTGCAGCATTTTAAACTGAATTTTAAAGTAGCTTCTCAAGAGCAATAAGCATTTATTCTTACCAATGGGCCAGCCTTTATTTTTTCCTACCTTTTCATTTATTGTGAAGGTCTGCAAAAATTTTACTAATGCAGAAACTATTTCATAATTGCATACAGTGTATAAAGGAAAAAACCGAAAGGCACAGTTACTCAACCTGATAGCATCATTCCTCTCCAGTAAAATGATGTTAATTTATGACTATAGATAAGAATCCACTTGAACAGTGATATCATGCTTTTTTTCAGAGCACCAAGATATTTTATGACATCTTTAAAAACCTCTCCCTTACTGCTTTGACACTAGTTTCCAGTCACACACATTAAATTATGGCTAAGTCCCTGAAGCTTTAGTTCTAGTACTGAACATGAAACGTGTTGTCGTGCAGTTTACTGAAGCAGGACAATTTTGTTGACATCAACAAAATACACACAGGTGTGCTGGTGCACTGTAAATTTCAAGGTTGGTACCTAAGATGGAATGTTTGTGCAACCGTGACTCTGCATCTCGCACCTTTTGAAGCCAGAGTTGGATGAGATTCTTATCTTTCAAAACACTTAGATGAGTTTGCCTTAGTTAGCTGGGAACTGCACATTTGTGCAGAATGGTTTTATTTGGAAAATAGAATGGAATTAGTTCTGGCCTGGAGGGGATTGTGCAGAGCTCCTTCTGTAACAGCATGGCATGTGCATGTATGATTCCAGAGCAGAGCCTGGTATCCAGGAGCATCATTCATATATTTTAGTGCAAGTCTTTACCCAGCCATCAGACATAAGGCACAAAGTGCTCCTGCTTTTACCAGGTCTTACCAGACTGATGGCAGGCCTCTACGTTTTATGTGTGCGCTCATATTAATGCTAAACAAACTTAGGACTTAAATTTATCCTCATATCTCTACTCTAAAATAAATAGGGTAATGCTTATTTAAAAAAACTACTTGGTACTCTTGGAGAGGAAATGACCATCTCTTCAGAAATCAGTTGGAAACAAAGTTGTAACACTTTGGAAAAGTTTCAAAATATTTGATCAAAAAATGAAAGAAAGAGTTTCTCAGCACTGCAAAAATCTGTAGTGAGGCATCCATCATGATTTTGTAGTTTCATTTTACCTCAATGATTTGTGGTGCAGTGTCCTTAATAAGTGGTGATATTACTTTATCTGCCCATTTCCCCCTTTCCGACCAATTCTGCTTTTTATATTTCTTGCACTGAGCTTGGGACTACTGCTCTTCTGTCATTTGCTGGATTCTTCCAAGCACTGGACATCAAGGTTCCACAGAAGGCTGCTGATAAATAGCAGAAGGTTCACAAAAGAACGTGAAAATGATTAAAGCAGTATTTGAAAACATGCCTTAGAGTGAGAGACTCAAAGAGCTTGATTTATTCAGTTTAACAAAGAGAAGGTTAAGGGATTACTTCATCACAGTTTATAAGTATCTGTATGGGAAACAAATATTTGACAATGGGCTTTTCAGTTAAGCATTTATAACAAGATCTAACATATTCTGTTTCAAATAAGAATGATTTTGGGGAAGTTCTATGTATCATATTATAAAGGAGGTTAGACTCGATGATCACAGTATTACCTACCAGTCTTGGAATCTATAAATGGTATTAAATGCCCAGCTTGCACACTTTTTAAAGAAATGGAAGTTTCCATTTTTAAATAAGTAGAAAATTGGAATGTTAAACTCAACTAATGATGCAGGTTAGAACAGGAAAATCTAAAAAACCTATTTAACATTTAGTGATTGCTATGCTATTTTAATTCTCTGTATATATAAATATAGCTTAGTTTCATTAATGTGAATATTCTGTTTACTGCTTTCCTTCATTACTGCTTATCCCTTTCTCTCTCTTCTCCTCTAACTACTATTTTTTCCATTTTGTTTTTGCACAGCTAAATCAATCCCTTTGTCAACTATAAATAAAGATTAGAAAGAGGTATATCATGCAAGACTTTTAAGACTGGTATGTCATTAGAGACACACATCAAGATTAGCTGAGGAGATTGAGGCTTCAGTATTCTTAGAGAGCCTGTGATACAAGAACAAAGCCCATCTACTCCCTACCACAAACATGCAACTTCCTCTCAATGTTCCACACTTGTTGCTCTCTTCTTTTGCAGCCATAATAAGGTGCCTGCTGGTTAGCTCCTAGGGGGCTCCCATGGACCCAGTTCATGCTTCTCTTCACTCCATCTCTCTTGCCACCAGCTCCCCATGATAACCCCACACTGCCCTCACCACTGAAATCAATTCAGGGATAAAGAAGTTGTTTATATTCCATTCTTATCTCTTTGGATCCACAAAGTTTCCCAGGAGAGAACACCAACCCACACCCAACCCACAAAACCCTTGTACTTGTTAAGCCCCTTCTCTCCAAACAAACACATTGTCGAGAATGTACAGCCAGTGCTTTAGCTCAGGACTGATGCTACTGTACATTCTGCAGAGATCACAGCTATTGCTTTTTAGACAATCTGAGGCTGTTGGAGAAGCTGAGTCCCAGGTCAACAGTGTCATCAGTTGTCTCTACTGGTATATTATTCTCTCTTATGTGGGATGAGTTATTCCATGCTTCTCGTCTTGAAGTTATATTCAAAGCCATAATGCAATGGCATGCTTCTGGCTGCCTGAGATGGTCTGAATGAGCAGAGTTTGGATGGTGAACACCTGGATAGGAATTTGATTGACAGTGATTAGGTGAGAGGTAGTATTCAGCTGCCACTGGAGTGGATGCTTGGGCAAGGAAAGGTCTCTCAGACATACAACAATTTTTCTTGAATCCATGATGAATGCCTAATTTAGCAATAAGAGGCTTCCCAACATTAACCTCCTTCCTTTCATCAAGGGAATCCTCTATTCCAGGATATTCATAATGCAGACAAACTGTGAAGATCAAGTGCTCCTATGAATGACAGACAATAAAATTACTTCTTCCCTCAAAAAGGCAGTGAAATAAATTTTTTAAAAAGTGATTCTCTGAGGTGGCAATTAACACATTTTAAGTAAAATCACAAAGACATAAGTACAATTGTATAAGTGCTAATAGCTTTGCAGTTACATGTATGCTACACACACCGGGCCAAATTCTGCACTGATTTACATTCTCACTGGAATCAATGAGGCTGAAAAAGATGTAAACAAACTCATTGCAAAATTTTGCACACTCATTTCATAGTATACCTAACTATACCTAAGTATAACCACCCTGGGATTTCTTGTCCCCAAATCTTCCTCCTGTGCTCTTCAAGATTTCCCTCATCCTATTCTCTCCCCTCAACCATATGCACTAACTGTTTCTTTAACAGAACACACTTTACCCATCCACAGTATGGGTGAAATTCTGTTAATGAAACAACTGTAAAAGCACTGGGGCTACATCTACACTGCAGCCTTTTGTTGGCAGAGACAATGCAAATGAAGCACTCATTAGCATTTGTTGCGCTGTAATTTGCATATTCTCTGCTGATGCTTTTTGCAGAAGAGGTTTTTGGCAAAACCAAGTAGGGTAGACGGGGCCATTTTGTGCACAAAACCCCTTTTGCGCAAGATCTCTGATGCCTCAAAAAAGGAGGTATAAAGGATCTTGCGCAAAAGGGGTTTTTTTTCCCCCCACAAAACAGCCGCATCTACATTGCTTGGTTTTGCACAAAAACCTCTTCTGCGAAAAGCATTGGCAGAGAATATGCAAATGATGCTGCAACGAATGATAATGAGCACTTCATTTGCATTGTCTCTGCCAACAAAAGGCTGCAGTGTAGACGTAGCCCCAGTGGACCCTGGGAGGAGTATTACACATATATTCACTTTCTTCCCCTCCAAACTTCATTTGAATTTTAGGTAACCCAATTCAGCAACATCTTTCCACCACAAAAGAAATAAGAGCGTACAGTGCCATGTGCACCTTGCTTGAAATGAATATGGGTTACTGGGGTAACTATCTCATGGGTTATCCTGATTTATAAACCTGCTGGCAGCAGGATAAGAAGGTACTCATCACTATGGCACTCTTCATCCCATCCACCTGCACAAACACTCCAATATTTTTCTGTTTCTAATAGTGTTTGTGCTACGCTCTGGTAGATCATATACAGTAGAAATGCTCAAGTCATGAAAATCCTATAGTCCACTTCTAATCTTTTAACAGCAACAATTAACTATGCAGAGTAAGAGTACTTTTAAAACACAATGGTTTAAGGGCATAGGTTAGGATGCAAAGAGGTTATATATAACATTTCTACTTTTTATTAATAACTTCAATTTATGTCTCTTCTTTATGGCATAAGTTTGCTTAGTGATCAAACAGACATGGAAACATGATATGTACAAGGTGCTGTGATTCCTCCAGAGAAGTCAATTTATCATTCAACCTATAGGGAACATTTTCCAGAGTTGTGTTTAAAAGGGACATGTGGAATAATATGATTTCATATTCTCTGGCTTGCTCTCTCTCTAAAGCAGAACCAAGTCACTGAAGTGTGCTCTTAGCCATTCTCTCTCTAAGCAGCTAGAATGAATGTTTGAGTGAGTATGCTTTGGACAATTATTGAAAATATTCAGTATATGTTATATCAATTACATATAGAATCTAGCTCTTTTACTAGAGTTGTGCAGCAACTGTACTTTATAAACAAATGGGTGAAATGAGAAATAACACATTAGCCACCTTTAGTTTCTGCAGTGAACTTAGTCTAGTGTAGAGACAGTGTTTGGGAAGATCCTTTGATACTAAATAGCTGCCAGTTTCCTCAGGAGTCCCTTTATTTGCCTCTTTAGGATCTACATCCAGGTCCTGTTACAAAAAAAAAGTGAGAACTAAGTTGCAGGTATAAAAACTAGTAGAACATTGTGAAAAGGAAAATAAAAAGGAACGTTTAGATTTTATGTGAAATAGCTTAAGATTTTAGTTCAACTTGCAACTTTTATTTCTACGCAATTTATTAAAATTTAAAACAAACCTAGTATTTTCTTTTTCTTAACAAAAAATTTCACATACAATATTCAACTGATATTAGAAACAGTCACCGAGGCTGCATAATACGCCAGTCACATGGAGGAGTGCTTGTTTGTGTTTCATCTCTTGCATTTCTAAATTACAACTCAAGGTAGATTCCTGCCCCATGTCTTACAATTTTAAAAAAAGGGCAAGTTTTGTTTTCCTCCCTTTTCTTCTCCCATCACGTATTTCCTCCTCTCTCTAGTCATCACTGTTACACGTCAAACTAAGAGGTCAAAACTCAGTGTATTGTCAAAAGCAGCTGGACTGCTACCTATTACCACAGCTAATAGCATAAACAACAGAGCTTTCGTCTTCTAGATTTGAGTATAGTAAGGTAGCATTAGAAGAATTTATTAGTTTCCCTTAAATGTGTCATTTTCAGAGTACAATTGTTCTAGTAAATTTTGATAAATTCAAATTAAAACACCATTTCTTGCACGATGCCCTGGTGTTCTTGTGCCTATTTCAGGGAAGTAACAATAATCTTGGCATAATGAAATAAACAAGTCAAAACAAAAAATGTGGTGTCCAATAAGATATAGAATAAACTTGATCACTTAAAATCTTGGCTTTGTCTATTAAGGCCTGATCTATCTTTGGATCTAAAACGGCAGACCCCAATACTAAGGTTCAGCCATTGATCTGTATGGGGCTCTGATCATGAGCTTCTTATTGCAGGATCAATCTGCAATAAGAAACTTATCTGCATACTCTTAATACCAGGTGTGCTGAACACTTTACAATATTATATATGATGGCACTATAGTAATAGTACCATAGGAGAGAAAGACACTTAATATGTTAATTCACAAATAGGTAATTCTCTTTACAATCACTATTTAGCCAACACCAAGAGCAAGCCAGGCACTTTGAAAGAATAAGAAAACACGGCTAGAGAGTTTATAATTTAAAAGTTCGAATCCTGCAATTCACTGTACTCTAGCTACAGTGACTAGTGGGGATCTGTGAGGATAGTAGTGCACTTGTAGGTAGTGACTTGTAGGAGCGTGGCCTAAGAGATCGATTCTTTGAGGTAGTGAGTGTTCTCAGCTCCCATTGATTTCAACAGGCACTACAGGCATTTAGTTCCATGTAGGACCCAGCCTAATTTAGATCTAGCAAATAAGAGAAATCAGAATGTGATGGGAAGGGGAAGAATAGATTTTCAGCAAGATAACAGGATTTGTTTTATATATGCAACCTGCTTGGTTCAGAATTAAATCCCAAACCCCAAAAGGCATAGTCTGGCACAAGAGCAGAAGCAGATAGCCACTAAGTTAAATACAGAGCAATCACTGAAACAGAAATAGGAAACACTTACAAGCGGGAAGTCTGTAACATATGCTTTGCAAAGTGATATTTCAGGAGGTTTCTTTACTATCCTTGTGTAGATGATCATGACGTTGGAAAATTCGGCTGCAAACCCCAGCTGAATTTGAACACCACATTTAAATTCAAGATACATACTTTCTGGGAGTTCTGCAAATAAATATTTTGGAGGAACAGATTTAAAATATTCTGATGGAGGCCTAACATGCATCTGCCATTGTTTTAGCAATCTAAAATTATGTTTTCTTCCCTTCCTATTACTAACAAACAAACAGTAAATTGCTGACGCTGTGCTGTAGAGCTACCTCTTCAACTCACCTTACAGCAGTGGTCTCCAACCTTTTTACACCCAAGATCTCTTTTTAAATGTCAGGGCAAGCCAGGATCTACCCCATCCCTTTCTTGACCCCCCCCCACCCTCTCCAAAACTTTCCACAGACTACCCATTACTAATGGAAACTCACCATTAATTACATAATTATACCTGAGCCATTTTGCTAGTGCTGCAGCTGGGGAGAACGATTTAATTTAAATTATTAAACAAATTAAGCATTTTAACTTTCTCATGATAGTTGATCAAACTTCATCTTAAATAAAGTAAAACATCACGTCCAACACAAAAACTTCCTATGTTTTCTTTATTTATGGCAGGTGTGGGGAACCTTTTTTGGGTTGGGGGCCATTGACCCACAGAAAAATCAGTGAGGGACCACACAAGTGAGAAGCAAAAAAACTCCTCCCCAAACCCTCAACCCTCACTGATGTGGCCCCCAACTGAGACACCTCACTCTTCTGGCATTCCAGCCCCCAGAGGTGAGAGGAAGGGGCAGGGAGGACTGAGGTTCAGGGCTTCCCGTAGGGCAGATTTACGTTTCTGGGGTTCCAAAGTTAATGGATTTTGTGGAGCCCCACAGGCTCTGGGGTGGAAACAAAAAGGAGGGGCTCAATATGTGGGACAGGGCTGCCAGCGAGTGGGATAGGGATGCCGGATCTGGATGGGAGGTGGGGTGCAGGGTCCCGGAGGGAGGTTAGTGGCAGGAGAGGGTATGGGATGGGGGTACGAGAAGGAGTTTGGGGGCGAGAGGGGGTTGGGGCAGTAACGCAGAAAAGCTGAAAGGGTGAAAATGCAACCAAAAGCTATTTGGGGAAGGAGGCAAAGAGGCTGTATCAATAGAAGAGGCTTTTGTCCAGGCCAGGCACAGGGGGGTGGCCCAAGGCTGGCTTCAGCCAGGCCAGGCACAGCGGGGCACTGGGGAAGGGGCTCCCTGAACCTGCACACAGCGTGGCCGGGTGCAGCAGGGCACTGGGAAGGTGGCTCTCTGACCCCATACACAGCTTGCAGAGAACAGCGTGGCCTAGCCCTGTCTCCAAGGCACTACATGTGCCAACCGCCCAGCCCTCTCCCAGAGCAGGAGGCAAGAGCGGGGATGCACTGCACACCTCTTCCCCTCTTCCAGCTTGCAAGTTAAAAGAGGGGCAGCCACTCTTTGACCCAGCTCAGCTGGAGTACGGCGCATCCTCGTGGGCCACAGCTTTCAGCCTGCCGAGGCTGTACCATGATCCAGCTGGGCTGGATCAAAGAAGGGCAGCCACCCGGGCAGCAGCCATGCGGCCACTTGGTCGGGCGGCTATCCCTCTATGATCCAGCCCAGCTGGAGTGCGGCGTAACCTCAGCAGGCTGAACGCCGTGGCCAGCTGGGCTGGAGCAAACAAGGGCAACCACCCGGGCTGGTGACCACTGCTGTACAAGCACCTTTCCAAATGGGATACAACTAGAGTAACATTTTGCATGGCTAGAATAAGAACATAGCTACATAATACTGATGTAGCTAGGTTGACAGAGCCCGGTAACAGGGATGCAGGTCATGCTGACAGAAAGGTTTTTAGTGTCAGTGTAGAAATGTTACCTCCCCATACCATGTTGACGAAAGCTCTTCTACTGATATAGCTATATCTACGAGACGTGCTGCTGGCACAGTTATATGAGTCGCACAGCTATGCTGATTTAGCCTGTATACTGAAAGTACTTGATCCAGTCAAGTTAGCTTAGGGGCTTATCTTAGAAAGTAACACTGTACCACTTCAACTACGCCTTTATAATTACAGTGGCCTTAGTCTGTACACAGTTACACTTTGCACACAGGAACAGAAATAGAAATTGTAGGGGTATAGAAATATATCAATAAAACAAACAAAAAAAAAAAACAAAAATCCTGTTTACATTATGTCTGTGTCTTTGGTGGCCCACAAAGGTTTGTGGATTTTTTTTCCTATGCATGAAGCAAGGCCTACAATAAAAAGGAAAAATTTCAGAGAATCGAGTAGTGCCTATGAAAAACCGCAACCAAAAGCGGTTTTAACAGCAGAACCAGCACATTTCTCTATTCTGTGCCGATTTTAAAAATAGGCACAAGGATGAAATCACTAAACCACATAAGTATAAAGTGCAAATTGGGGGTACATGTTCAAATTCCACTGACTTTCAATAGATATTGGACACGATATAATCTGCAAGTTTGTAATAGTGGCAAAGGGTTTAGTAGTCTGATCATTTTTCTTTCCTCTCCAATTTTCTCAAATACATTACAAATAATTCAGTTCCACATTCAAACCTATCAGGAAAAATATTTAAAAATTCTTGTTTTTTAAAAAAGGGAAGTCAGGGATAATGTCTGGTATGCTGCTCTTGAAGTTAACTCACCTGAAGTGAATTTGGCATCTCTTGTTTCTCATAAAAATTTCATCCAGAAATTGACCCAAGCAAAAACCTCCCAGAGCCTCAAAACTCTGTATCTTGGGAACATTTCTATTCCATATAATATAGCCAATGAAAAAAAAACCAACACTAAGGACTAGACACTATGCCCAAATATATTTTCAATTGAATTATTGATGCATATCAAGTGAGACAAAGGACTATTAATGAAATTAATATTTTGGAAGGTGTTTTTTGGAAGAGATGTTTACTGTACCATGAGCTTTGGCCCACTGTAAGTTTCGTGCCAGGGACTCTGCAGATGATCCTGTTTGCTGAATGGGATCAGTTAATGCTCTCTTCTCAGATAAACTGCTGCGAATCTCCAAAGCCTGCTTGCCTTTGGTAAGATGACATTTACCCATATCTGAAGATAAAATGCAAATAGTTTTATAGGAATCAAAGCTGCTAAAATTATAATGAAAGCAGTTACATAATTAGTGAAAACTGAAAGTTAGCATGAAAGATTCCTCAGGGAAATGTTTTTTGTTTTCTGTTTTTCAGCATGTCTCCACATTTAAGAATGTGACTAATGTTAACCTTATTCAGTCATATTCTTCAGCAGTGTGCTGAATGGAAACCTTTAAAGATAAATGAAACAACGTAAGCTCACTTTTTCTTTTTCAGCTGTTTTTGCTGTGTTTAAAATTAAAACTAATGGGTAAAGAGTGATTTGAATTAAAATCAAGCTTTATAATTATGAATGTATATATGTGGATGACTATTCAAGTTTGGGATTAAATATTATATCTATTATTGAACAATGGCCTATGTATTTTCCTCTGGAATGTAATATTTCCATACACGATGAATATATCAATACACCTAGTCCAATACGTTGTCTCTGACAATAATTAATTATTCTATCACATTACGTGTTGTGACCCATACATAATCTGAACTAAAACATCTTCAAGCTAAGAAGATGTGCTTCATTCTCTTCTCATGTACATGGGTATGAACACATTACTTTCACCACAGTTATTTTAAAATTCCAGCCAGCATGAGAGAAGAAAAAGACCCTGCATCTTCATTCTGTGCACCGTGTCTTCCTTTGAAACTACGTAAGTGTTAAAATAGTAAGTAAGAATCAGCTTAAATCCTGACGTCTGTAATCATCATTTTAAGATATATAATAGCTAAATCTCTTATTTGTCTAAAATACAGGTCAAGATTTTCTTATGATGACAGTCCTGTGCATGTACAAAGCTTGCCAATAAACTTAAAAAAATATTAAAACAGTGCCCTACCATTCCATATTTTCATATCTAATTAAACAGAAGATAAGCCATGTGGGAAAAAAATGTAAAATAGGTGATGAACTAACAATTGAGAAGTAACTATCATCTATAGATCCACACTTTAGTGGCATGGGTAAGTCATACGCCAATTGGCAGTGACAACATTGTTTATCATGCAGCATATGTGCACTTCATGTGCTTCTGCTGCAGCTAGTGACACAATCATCATTTCCTTTTTCTCTCTGTATTGCTGGTACATTCAAACTGAATTGTGTCAACTCTGGTAACATTTTCTACAGTCTGTCTTGTCCATGGCATACCAATTTGGATGTATATTTGATATCTGGTTTGGACATTTCTGATTTATGAATCCTTGTCACATATGGACACTGAGCCAAATTGTGTATTCACTTACAATCCTGGTGCCTCACTGAGTTCAATATGCAGATGGAACTGATAGCAAAATGTGACCCATTATCCAGATTGTAAATGTCTAGCTGTTGGGAGATCTGGACATTTTTATTGAGAAGCCAGAGGATTTTTGTTAAAAAAAATCTGTGCATATAATCCAACATGTAAATGCACTTGTCTATCCTATGCTTTAAGAGAATGCTCACAACTAAGACAGTCTCTTCAGTGCTCGTCACTCAGGCAATATTCCCATCAACAACCAAAGGCTATTAGCCAGGGGATAAAATGGTGTCCTTGGCCTCTGTTTGTCGGAGGCTGGAGAGGGATGGCAGGAGACAATTCGCTTGATCATTGTCTTCGGTCAACCCTCTCTGGGGTACCTGGTGCTGGCCACTGTCGGTAGACAGGATACTGGGCTAGATGGACCTTTGGTCTGACCCAGTACGGCCGTTCTTATGTTCTTATGTTCTAACCAGAGAGCTTTGCTTCAGTGACAAAAGCTGAATAGGGTCCTTCATTGTAGTCTAGTCATAAATAATGGTTATGTCAACAAATGTGGCACTGATACGATATGTGGCACATAGGATTCAAGCATAATTAGTCTGTCTTCAGGTTAAGTTAATTGGGATAGCGGTCACATCCTGAGACCACATGACCCAGGAGAATTATTTTTAGTGACACTCATCTGTAAAATCTGATGAGAGTTGTATACTCACAAAAATTCAGAGTAAGAACAAGCAATGGGCTTAAATTACAGCAAGAAAAGTTTAGGTCTAGGTTGAACATTAGGAAAAAACTTTTTTTAACTGTCATGGTGGTTAAGCATTGGAATAAGTTGATTAGGGAGCTGGTGGGAGGCTCTCCATTATTGGAGATTTTTAAGAGCAGATTAGGCAAACACATGTCAGGGATGGAATAGATAGATGGCTCTTGGTCCACCCATGAGTGCAAGGTAGTGGACCTGATTACATCTCTAGTTTCTTTCCAGTTCTATGATTCATATTATAGTTGCTCATCAATAGCAGAGTTATTATGGTAAGGGCTGCTTCTGAAATGCTTCAAAGTTAAATATATGCCATTTCTGTCTCACTTTGTAAAAATGAAAGCCCTTTTTTGCATAATAAATCCGTGTCACATTCAGAAATATTGGATATTAAACATACTTTATCCTTTATGCACTTAAAGATTTTCCTGCAGGGAAAGCCTTAAACATGCTTCAATAACAAGATTTGAAGCAACAATTGAAATATAAACTCATACAACAAACTACCTTTGAATGGATAGCACCTTGTGTCCCACAGGAGCAGGTCAGTTTACAGACAGGGATTTTATTACACAAGAGATAACTGCATTTTGATGGTGTGTTTACACAATGCAGTAATAAGAATTTAGAGAAGTGAAGAACACTCAGTGTAGAAGAGAAGATTTAGATAAGAAAGAAAAAAGGATTTTTGTATAAACTGGAACTTAAGGAAAGCTTAAATTCAAGTTGCTTTTACCTTCTGCAACTTCATCAAGAAGTACAGTAATCTTCTTGTCTTCCAACATGCGTTCCTTCAAGAACTTCATGAAAATCCCATTGGCTAACCCAGAGTGCTGAATTTCAAAAGCTTCTGCTCCTTGGCATCTTTAAAGTATAATAAATATAAGTAAGAGTCGTAAAATGAGACAAACAGTGATAAATTAATAATATTAATTAATAATAAATTATGTATCAATGTGAAAAGAATGCTAAATGTGAAATAAGAAACTGCTGTATGAAGACTAGTCTGGTTTTAGAACCTAATCAGTCTGGTCGTCACAGAAATGTAATATATATTTACAAACTATTCATTTGTGAAGAGTTCAGAATCACCACCATATCACAGGAATGAGGCAAGATCAACCTAAAGTACAATATTATTCCTCCTTCAACAAATTATCTTGGAGGACAGTCCCAAAGCTGTGCCTGAAAAATGTTAACAGTGCAAATTCCATCAATACCTACCATCGTGTGCAACACTTTGGCAAAACTCTTGGCCACTTACCAGCTGAATACTTTTGTATTTGCCATATTAAATCAACAATATAATCACTTCAGAATACTAGAATTACAGAATTAACTTTGGGTATGTCTACACTTGCCCCCTAGTTCGGACTAGGGAGGCAAATTTAAATATCCCGCGCTTGATTAGCATATTTGCAGCTGGTTGCCATTTTAAAATGCTGGTAGCCTGAATTAACTCACCGTGTGTGGTAGTCCGATCCAAAACCCTTCCCTCAAATTAACTGTTACTCCTCATTGCATAACATACTATCTGTAACCGGACCATTTTCTATTCATGATAGAAGCAAGCTTTTGAGCTCCACAGAGTTGTTTTTAGCTCAACAGAATTTGGTCCAAAAAAAGATACTTGTCTTTCTTATGTCCACCTTGTCTTTCTTATGTCCTGAGACCAACATGGCTACAGTATGACATGAGACATATGTCATAGTTCAGGGCAACTGCATCTGTATTCTCCCTGTATAGTTCAGAAAAGGTCATCATGCTCAGCTTCAGGTTTCTTTGGGCATCTCCTCTTTTAAGTGGATATATGCATCTCCCTTCCTCCCGACTAAGCTAGTTCCAGGTTGCACAGCTCTCTGATTATACTGTGATTTCCCCAGCGAAGTCAAAATAAAGCACTTCAGTGTACATACAAACTACAGCAACCGGAGAGTTTCTCCCATTTCTATAATTAATCCACTTGCCTCAGAGACAATAGGTAGGTCAAAAGAAGAATCTGTCCATCAATCTTGAATCATCTAACCAGGAGTTAAGTCATCTTAACAATGGTCACTCAGGGAGGTAGATTTGCCATACATCTGAGCGACACACTTTGGTCGATCTAACTTGTTTAGACCTGACCATAGCCAGTACATTTCTAACATATCAAGATAGAATTAAGGGCAATTTTAATCATTCATGTAAACAGCCCAGTGATAGCATAAGAATACATATTAGAGATGCGTTACTGGTGCTCTTACTCTACAGAATAGGCTATTTTTTAGAAAAGGTCAACTAAATGACCACAACAGTTCCTTCTGGTCTTGAAATGTGGTGGGAGAAGCTTCCTTACGTTGCATATCCAAAAACGATGTTAGCTGTAACCTTCAGGGCATCCAAGATTAGAATGGTATCATCATACTCATTTCTATAACAAATGGAAACAAAAGTTTAGAACGTGAATCCGACACCACAGTCACACAAGTATTGCAGTATATATTTCATGGAAAGCGGTTAACTTTCCAAAACCGGGACTGAATCCACCAATGGAACAGGTCCTATATGAAGAAAGATTAAAAAGACTGAAACCTTCCAGCTTAGAAAAGAGAAGACTAAAGGAGAGATATGATAGAGATCTATAAAATCATGACTGGTGTGGAAAAAGTGAATAAGGAAAAGTTACTTACTTGTTCCCATAAAAAAAGAACTAGGGGTCACCAAATGAAATTAACAGGTAACAGGTTTAAAACAAACAAAAGGAAGTTTTTCTTCACACAGCGCATGGTCAGCCTGTGGAACTCCTTGCCACAGGAGGCTGTGAAGACCAGGACTTTAACAGGGTTGAAGAAAGAACTAGATAAATTTAAGGAGGTTAGATCCATCACTGCTTATTAGCCAGGATGGGTAGGAATGGTGTTCTGTTAGAGGCTAGGAATGGGTGATGAGAAAGGGATTGGTGGGAGATCCCCTTTTCTGTTCCCTTCCTCTGGGGCATCTGGCATTGTCCACTGTCGGAAGACAGGATACTGGGCTAGATGGACCTTTGGTCTGACCCAGTATGGTCATTCTTATGTTCTTATGTTAATGAAAAAACAGACAGAATTAACTGCATTAACATTTTCATGAAAACAATACTGAGACACAACCAAATACGATACATTGGCAAGATGATAGCACCTCATATTAATTGCTGTTGAATTTGGCCTCAGTCTAGCAAGAAGAGTCTTTGAAACAACTGAAAACTGCCAGTCATTTTAGGCTAATGGAAACTTGATGAGTTTTCCTTTCATAATGCAACATCAGCAAGGCTGAGATGTGAAAATCTGCCATAGTTCTTAGAGACATATTTTTAGTTCAGTCAGTAGAATGTGATGTTTAATTGATGTCAAGTATCAGAGGGGTAGCCGTGTTAGTCTGAATCTGCAAAAGCGATGAGGAGTCCTATGGCACCTATAGACTAACTGAAGTGTAGGAGCATACGCTTTCGTGGGCAAAGACCCACTTCGTCAGATGCATGTAGTGGAAATTTCCAGAGGCAGGGATAAATATGCAGGCCAGGATCAGGCTGGAGATGATGAGGGGATCCAATCAAGGAGGATGAGGCCCACTTCTAGCAGCTGATCTGGAGGTGTGAATTCCAAGAGAATAGAAGCTGCTTTTGTAGTTAGCAAGCCATTCACAGTCTTTGTTTAATCCAGAGTTGATTGTGTCAAACTTAAAGATGAACTGTAGCTCAGCAGTTTCTCTTTGAAGTCTGGTCCTGAAGTTTTTTTGCTGCAGGATGGCTACTTTTAGATCTGCAATTGTGTGTCCAGGAAGATTGAAGTGTTCCCCTACAGGTTTTTGTATGTTGCCATTCCTAATATCAGGTGCCACAGGACTCCTCATCGCTTATGTTTAATTGAGTTATTAATGTTGCATTAATAATGAAATTCACAGGCTCTGGAATCACTGTAGCAGTCACGAGGAGTAATCTCTCTGGTAATAAGTCACCAGGACCAGATGATACTCCCTCAAGAGTTCTGAAGGCACTCAGATTTGAAATTGCAAAAATACCAACTGTGATATGTAGCCAGATGACTGGATGACAGCTAATGTAACACCAATATTTAAAAATAATTTTAGAGGTGATCCTGGAAATTACAGGCCAGTAAGCCTAACTTCATTATCAAACAAACTGGCTGAAACTATAGTAAATAACAGAATGATCAAAACACAGAGATAAATGCAATATGCTGGCAAAGAATCAACCCAGCCTTTGTAAAGGGAAATCACACCTGAGGGTATCAACAAACATATGAACAAGAGTGATTTTGTGGCTATAGTGTGGGATATTTTTTGAAAGCCTTTGACAAGGTTCCTTATCAAAGGCTCTTAAGCAAACTGTATAGTCATGGGATAAAGAGCAACATGTTGCCTATCTTTTAACCTATGGTGGGAATAGAGTATCAGTTTCAAAATGGAGAAAGCTAAATAGAGGGGTCCTCCCAGGATCCATATTTGGGCTAGTGATGTTCACCATATCGATCAGTGATCTGTAAAAGCAGGTAAAAAGTGAAGTGGGAAAGTTTGCAGACAATACAGAATTACTCAAGACAGTTAAACCCAAATCAATATTTATCATCTCGCTGTTTCACAAAACTGGGTGATTGGGTGTTGATAAACACACAGTAATTGACACTGGAAAACATGAAATAGTGTGACCTAAATTATCTGTTACCACTCAAAAATGATCTCCAAGTCATCATGGATAATTCTTTGAAAATATCGGCTCAACATGCAATGGCAGTAAAAAAACAAAAACACCTCCCCCCGCAAACCCTTGCCGAAGGTTAGGACCAATCGGGAAAAGTGAATGGTGAGGCAGAAAATATCATACAGTAACTATGTAAACCCAAGCTACACCCACACCCCAAATATCACATGCCTTTCTGGTCACCCCATCTCAACAAAGACAGTAGAATTGAAAAAAGTACAGAAAGGCAACAAAAATTATCAGGAGTATGAAACAGCTTCCATATCAAAAGATATTAAAAAGAGTTGCACTGTTCAGATTAGAAGAGAGATGACTAAAGTGGAAGGGGATATATTAAAGGTCTATATTAAAGGTCATGAATGGTGTGAAGAAAGTGAATAAGGAATAAGGAAGCATTATTTACCCCTTCGTGTAACACAGGAACCAGGGGTTACCTAAGTCAACATAATGAAGTACTTCTTCACATAATGCACAGGCGACCATCCTACTAATTATCAGGGGATGTTGTGAAGGCAACCTCTGCTGACTTCACTCTCTTCTTCTAAATTTTACCTAGCTAGTCTGATGTTTTAGTATGTTTCTCTTTAACCTGTTGAACTTTATGCAAAAATACATAGTAAGCTGAATTACCAACTTTATGTTTTCACATGGGGCTCGTCTACACTGGCCCCTTTTCCGGAAGGGGCATGTTAATTTCATCTATCGTAGTAGGGATAAGATTGAAGTAGGAATAAGAGCCTCCGGAAAAGGGCGCTTTTTCCGGAGGATTGGGGCCAGTGTAGACGCTCTTTTCCGGCTTTTCTAAAAGCCGGAAAAAAGCGGTGGACATTTTTATTTAAATGCCGCGGGGGATATTTAAATCCCCCGCGGATTTCCCTACTACGATAGCTGAAATTAACATGCCCCTTCTGGAAAAGGGGCCATGGGGTCTGATACAAACCACAATTCAGTCAACTGAAAGATTCCAGTGACTTCAATAGGATCTCTCAAACGTAGACGTAGCCATGGGGTCTGATATAAACCACAATTCAGTCAACTGAAAGATTCCAGTGACTTCAATAGGATCTCTCAAATCTCTCAGAACTCATTGGCACTAGAAAGTCTCTGTAACTTCCATCCACTTAATTACAGTACTTTCAAAAATATTTATAGCATGAAGTTTCACATGTGGTTCTAGCTTCCTCTCTGTCCCTTATGATTATTTGGTGTTGGTTTATTGGGTTTTTTTGGGGGGAGGGTGGCTGGATTTTGTTGTTTTTAAGTAGACTCCCCCCTTCTCTATTGGCAATTTACTGTTGCTATGGAAAAGCTAATGAAAAAGAAGACAGTTTCACACTTTGTGTCTGAAAGCAATGAGTTCTATGGTCACCCTAGCCTTCCTCACCCTTCCAGGGAACTGATTAATCCACAGTTACAATTTACAGTGATAATTTCAAACTAGAAATCTTACCTTTTTCTGCACATATCCAGTAAAAAGACATTGAGCCCGGTCTCTTTTTCCTGCATAAGTTTGAGTATATTCTGCACACACAAACAGTTTGCAGACCGATAGGGATTTGGGGCATCAACAGGAACCATAAAACTGTTTCCATAGTTTTCATAGCCATGGCCAGCATAATATAATAAACCTATAAGGAAAAAGCCAAAATGATTATATGGCATATGTACACACACATTTGAAAGCCACCACTGAGTGCTGAAGCCAGAATTTTATCCACTACATCTACAGTATGTGAAAAAAAATCTCAGAGGAGTAGCCATGTAAGTCTGTAACCTTAAAAACGAGTGGTCCTGTGGCACCTTAGAGACTAACCAAAATATACAGAATCATGAGCTTTCGTGGGCAACACCCACTTCATCAGATGAACTGGAGTACAAATAAACAGAAACCAAGAGATATATGTAACAGCAGCAGAAATACCCGCCAACTGTAGGACCTGTGTTAATAAGGCTAATTAAGTGGGCTGGATGTGTCCCATACACAACTTTTGATATGGAAATGCAGATGTTAATGGCAGGAGAAACTGGCTTTGAAATGCGCCAGCCAATTATTGTATTTGTTTAAACCCAGTGTATTGGTGTCAAATCTGTAGATAAATTCCTGGGAATCTGCTTAACCGGGATCCCAGGGATGGGGGTGCTCAGGCCCAACTCGGCGAAAAGCACCATGCTGCGGGTGGGGAGACTGCTCCAGCCAGCCTAGGTGGAGCACTTCTTGCCTGCACCGTGGTGCTCTGGGCCTGGTGGGGCTGCAGCTCACTCCTCATCCGCCACATGCGACACGATATAGCTGGAGGGCTGCTCCAGCCTGGCCAGGCCTCCAGTTAACTAGTTACCCCAGTAAGCATGCCAGTAAGGCTGATGCTTACCATTAACCCTTTACATCTCTACATCTGATATCAAATGTTGAAGGGATGCTTCAAGGGCGTCTTTGTGTGGTTTAGGAAAGAATACCAATAAAACTCTATGGACTCATTAACGTGGAACACATAAGTCGCTTTTAGCAAAAATTTCCAGTGTGGACATAATGTGACTCCATCCTTTCTGAAGATAGTGTTTGCCATAAGGCCTGCTATTTCTCCCACCTACCTGGCCAACATGATGCTACCAGGAATGCTACCTTTATGGATATGTGGAGAAAGGAGCACAAGGCAAAGGGTTCAAATAGAGTTCTCAAGGCAGTTGAGGTCCTAGTGTGGTGTAGGGTTCTGGATATCTGTAAGAAAATATTTGGTGATCATATGGGAAAAGATGGATGAGCCATCTACCAGTTTGTGAAAGGCTGTGATAGCCTCTAGGTGAATTTTAAGGAAACTTAGGGATAAGCCAGATTTGTGAGAGCCAGCATGTAGTCAAGTATTGTAGAGAGGGGTGCCATGGTAGAAGACAGTTGGTATTGCTAGCACCATGTGAAGAATCTTTCCCATTTATATAGGTAACTATATCTCACTGTGGAATTACAACTATTGAGTAATATTTGTTTTACTCTGTTGGAACAGGTTTCTTCTCCAGGTCGGAACTATAAAGCAGCCATGCTTTGATCAAGAGTTGCTGGATTTGGGTGCAATGTGTAGCCCCAGTGTTGTGATAAGAGATCCAATAGTTGGAATAGTCTACATGGATTGCACAACACAAGTCGTATTAAGTAAAGAAACCAGGTCTGTTTGGGTCTTCTTGGTGTGATGAGGATAACGTATGCCTGGTCTGTGCCTATCTTTTGTATGACTCATGGGATCAGAGGTAGGGTGGAAAGGCATTGAAGAGGTTCTTTCATGTAATAAGAAAAGTGACCCTAGTTTGGATCCCTCTCTGAAACAGAATTACCAACATATGCTGTTCTTTCAAGTTGTGAAAAGGTCAATCTGAGGGTAACCCCATTTATGGAATATTGCCTCGAGGATGATGGGATTGATCTCCCATTTGTGTTGCTCTAAGACAGCTGAGGTTGTCTGCTGTGGTATTTTGGGAGCCTGGAAGATAGGACATAGCCAGGGCTACTTTGGGGGTGGATATACCAATTCCATAGTGTGAGGGCTTTGCTACACAGGGAATGAGACCGGGCACCCCTGTGTCGATTAATACAGACATGCATGCAATGTTTTCTGTGAAAATTCTTATTGTTTTGTATTAATGGTAGGAAGTGATGGCATGCATTCCACACCTTGCCGAGTTCTTGGAAGCTGAAGTGCAGCCGGGACTCCTGTAAGAAACATTTGCCCTCGATGACATGGTGGTCTAGGGGAACATCCCAACCTATAAGGGAGGAGCCTGTGATAACACACACTAGAGGAACCCGTTGGAAGGTGATGCCCACCAGCAAGTTTCAAGGTTGTGTCCACCAGTATAGGGAAGTGAGTACATAGGGGAAGGGAGCGAGAAGCATGAGACTCTTGCACAGGTTGTAGTGGGCAGGCATACATACTGTAGCGAGCCAACTCTGGAGGCAGTGCATGTGAAGTCTGCCATATTTTACTATGTAGGTAGCTACCATATGTCCTAAGATTGGAAGCAAGTTCTTGCTACTGTGTAAGCGCTGTGTGTAACTGTAGTTATGAGTGTTGTCACTGCATCGAATCTGTCTGGGGAGTATTGTTCTGGCTGCTGTGAAATATAGGAGTGTTCCTATGAATTCAAGGGTTCATGTGGGCTTCAGAGTCAATTTCTGTGTGTTGATCTGGAAGCTGAGACCCTGGAAGAGGTCCATAGTTGTGTGCACCATGTGTCTTATGCTGTGTGGTGCCCTTGATTAAGCAATGATTAAGGTAGGGAAATAGTATTATGCCTTGTTGTCGAAGGCATGCCACCATCACTTCAAGTGTCTTTGAGAAGACTCATAGGGCAGTGAATAGGCCAAATGGTAATACCCCATATTGGTAGTGTTTAGGGCCTACCATGAACATGTGGAAATATCTATGTGCAGGATAGATTGTGATGTGGGGTTCTGTGCTTTTGGGAATAATATTTTTCCCTTTTGTCCACAGGTTGTTGCTGTTGTGCATTGAAGGAAGTGTCACAAGGTCTCTGGTACAGTGTGTAGAGGTATGTCTTGTTTGATGGGGTGTAAATGACCAGAATGCACAGTATGGCTTAGGAGGGCTTCATCTGTTTATGGAACAAATGTGTTTTATCAAAGGGAACATCTTCCACCTTCATCTGTAACTCCTTAGTGATCCCAGAGGCCTGTAGCCAGGATGCTCAGTACATGACAGCAGCTGTAGCAGTGAGCCACTGTGACCACAAAATCTGTGGCCGCTTGAAGGGTAATTCACGCTATTGTTTGGCCCTCTTGAATGATGGTTTGTAGTTTAGTGTGTTTCTGTGTTCTGGCAAGTGGTCAAGGAGTTCCTGCAGTTTAGCATAATTGAAGTGGTCATAATTCACTAAGGGTATGTCTACACTACCCTCCTATTTCGAAGTAGGAGGGTAATGTAGGCATACCGCACTTGCAAATGAAGCCTGGGATTTGAATTTCCCGGGCTTCATTTGCATAAACCGGGAGCCGCCATTTTTAAATCCCGGCTAGTTCGAACCCCGTGCCGTGCGGCTACACGCGGCATGGGGGAGCT